ACTCATCTGATTTCTTCGGTTTAGCAGTGGGTACAGTTGCCTGGTTATGACCGTTGCTTTGTTGATCGCTGTCGTAACATGTTACCTTAAGTTATCGTATCCAGGCTGCGTATCTAGAACAACACCCAAATACCGGACGTCACGCCCCCATTGAACATCTCCATCTAGGTTGATGTTTCCATCAACCCTGTTACGTTTCCATCCAATAAGAATGGTCTGGCTCTTTGTTGCGTTAACCATCAATTTCAATTCATCAAGACTTGATGGACCACTTCTGCAGTTCATGAGTAGCGAGCTGCATATTATGACGCGCTCGCTCCTTGCGCCATGCAGATGAAACCAGGGCTGTATCGTCCCCAAAACGAGCCAGGGACGTATTGGCGGTTCTTGGGATGTAACTGGTGAAGATGTAAAGCATCGGGGAAAGTATTGCGCCTTGCGAGATTCTTGCTTCTGTGCTTCTATCCTCTGACCTGTGGTTCCCAACTTGACGCTGCACGCTCTTTTGAAAATGGGTAACTGTCGATTAGCGGACACATTTTCTTATCAATACCTGCTTTCAGCATTTTATAGATGAGTCCATCTCTCCACATGCCGCTTTGTCGTCCCAGGGTGGTTCTGGTATCCTGCGTTCAGGGCTGCGGTCCCAGGTCCAGGGTGAAATCTCAAAGCTTGACCGAATAATATTGGTGCATACAGAGCACCAATATTATTCGGGACTGCGGTCCGAGGTCCATGGTGGCCGCTTATCGCTTTTGGGTCAACAGATTTAGTGATTTTTTGTACGCACAAACATTGTTGATGTTCATATATATTATTTCAAGGCCTTGAAAAGTTTTTCAATAGGCCAATATATCGTTAAAGGAAATTGATAAAAGTTAACATAAAGAAATAAATGATTGGTGTGATGGCGGGTTTGGGACTTGATTTTTGGGCAAAAACTCGTGTTTTACTGTAAAAATGGCCAACGTTCAACGCTCTATGCAGTCAACATTTTGTTGACATAATTAAAATACAAATTTGAAAGTATGGTTATAAGCGTTATTATTGCGCACTTGACGTCGCAAGAACGGCCAATCACAAGAGCCTATTTTCGGTTCATTCTGTATTACTGAGGAGAGTACATACTCTAACCGGCAGACCAACGCGTTGTGGTTTCAAGGCCAGTTCTGAAAATCAACCCTATAAATTAACCATCATCAGACAGACC